GCAGAAACACAGATATACTTTTTAAAACACAAACTATTTACTGTGATTAAGTTTTTATGCAACACATGCTGACAGATGCAGAAACACAGATATACTTTTTAAAACACAAACTATTTACTGCGATTAAGTTTTTATGCAACACATACTGACAGATGCAGAAACACAGATATACTTTTTACAACACAAACTATTTACTGCGATTAAGTTTTTATGCAACACATACTGACAGATGCAGATACACAGATATACTTGTTAAAACACAAACTATTTACTGTGATTAAGTTTTTATGCAACACATACTGACAGATGCAGAAACAGATATACTTTTTGTATCTGCATCTGTCAGTATGTGTTGCATAAAAACTTAATCGCAGTAAATAGTTTGTGTTGTAAAAAGTATATCTGTGTATCTGCATCTGTCAGTATGTGTTGCATAAAAAACAACTTTTAACTATTTTAATCTATGATGATTATCGAAGAAGAAAATAAATTCCTAATTCAGCTTGAAGAACTAAATTTGTCAGACTCAAAACTAGCATGCAAACATATAAGCGTCAAGGTCTAAGTTCAGATTTAATTACGAAGTCATTAGTCAAAGATTAACTTAAAACTACTATTCATATTTTGATTTTGACTTCTTCGGAAAGTACCGTTTTGGGTTTGTTTTACCTTGTCTTAACCAAACCTTCAGTTACTAGGTTTCTTTGGAGAGTTATATTTGTTTTCGTTTGTTTTTTTTTTGTCTTAGTCAAACCTTTGGTCACTACATTATTTAGAGCCCTACCATAAATATATATACATAGGTATTAAAAGTTTTTAAAGTATTAAAAAAACTGGTTAACAAAAACATTTCTTACTAGCCTCTAGATTTTGAAACTTGTGACATACTTTGAAATATTAAACCCTTAGTTGTACCGCTTAAGTCAGACTTCACTCGCAAGACTGATGATACTGGGGCAAGTGTTTATTCAGGAAAGAACAGTCAAAATCTATACGTACACTCGCAAGACTGATGATACTGGGGCAAGTGTTTATTCAGGAAAGAACAGTCAAACCTATACGTACACTCGCAAGACTGATGATACTGGGGCAAGTGTTTATTCAGGAAAGAACAGTCAAACCTATACGTACACTCGCAAGACTGATGATACTGGGGCAAGTGTTTATTCAGGAAAGAACAGTCAAAACCTATACGTACACTCGCAAGAAATTACTTAATTAGATTAAATAGCGTGTTGAAACGTAATATGCAATAATTACATAAATCTTTTGAAATTTGATCATGAAACGTACAGATGATCATTTCAAAGACGTATATGATCATATTCATGAAGGTGGTCACTGTTGTACACAGATACTACTCTAGCTTATTGGAATGGTTAGTGGTCGCTATTTCTCCTTCCGTTTACAGACCACTTTACACCCGTTTTGGTGACGTCTAGAACATTCCCATGCACAGCTTCATAGTATAAACAACCACTCTTAGTGATGACCCATTGCCGACAGTTTGGCGGCTTGGTCTGGTGTTCTCTACCTTGTATGTTTACGTTAGAGAAAATCCAAACACTAGGAGTTTATGGGAGGTCAAACTATATATTTATACTGTTGATGTTCCGATTTCTCTCTTTTTTTCTTTTCTTTTTTACAAACACATTAGAAAGCAAAAAAAAAAAAGAAAGATAACATTAGCAACAACTCAACACAAATATACAACAACACTCGATTGTCTTACAAAATTCGATTAAAACATTTATGTTCGTTGTACTCATGATTTCTGCTAGATTTAACGATTTAGAAGTTATTATTTTGTAGCATTTATCCCTTAATAACCAACTGAAATATTTGAAGTTCAATTATAAACGATTGAAATTTAAATATTGAACAAAAAATACAAGAATAGAGAACACCATGGTCAGATCGCATGGGTTGAATCACTGAAATTTATTAACACAGAACTTACATGTTTTAGCACTTCCTGTTTTCCATTTAAATAATACTAATGTTAATAAGTGACACTAAATAACACTACTGTTAATATATAACACTAAATGACTCTATTGTACATAAATAACACTAAATAGCACTACTGTTAATAAATAGCACTAAATAACACTACTGTAAATAACACTAAATAACTCTACTGTTAATAAATAACACTAAATAACACTACTGTTAATAAATAGCACTAAATAACACTACTGTTAATAAATAACACTAAATAACACTATTGTAAATAAATAACACTAAATAACTCTACTATTAATAAATAATACTAAATAACTCTACTATTAATAAATAATACTAAATAACTCTACTGTTAATAAATAATACTAAATAACACTACTATATAACACTAAATAACACTACTATATAACACTAAATAACACTACTATATAACATTAAATAACACTACTATATAACACTAAATAACACTACTATTAATAAATAACACTATTCTAAACAAATAACACTAAATAACTCTAGTTAATAAATAATACTAAATACCTCTACTGTTAATAAATAATACTAAATAACACTACTATATAACACTAAATAACTCTACTGTTAATAATACTAAATAACTCTACTGTTAATAAATAATACTAAATAACACTATTATATAACACTAAATAAATCTACTGTTAATAAATAACACTAAATAACTCTACTGTTAATAAGTAATACTAAATAACACTAAATAACTCTACTGTTAATAAATAACACTAAATAACTCTACTGTTAATAAGTAATACTAAATAACACTAAATAACTCTACTGTTAATAAAAAACACTAAATAACTCTACTGTTTTTCATTACTTTACATGCATTGCTTGTTTTCGAATATCTTTTTAAACCGTCGATACCTCACAAGGCTGTAAGAGTATAAGTAATCTCTTCAAGGCGTTTGTTAAATATTCATTATGGTAGAAACCGTCTATGTCTTCTAGTTACTTTTATTATTTTACACTTTAAATTAAAAGTATGGCGAGGTGATGATTTGTTATCACTTATTATTACATGTTGTCTATCGTTGCCTTATCAGCAAGCTTAATTTTGGGGGTCGATCCCGCAGGCGGACACAACACATTCAACCAATTGTGTAACTTTGCGCATAAACAACACTGTTGCAAGTGGTGCCATCGTTTATAATATTTTAGAAAATCACCTTTTTACGTTATTAAACGTAAAAAAAAAAAATCAATCATGGTTAGTTTAGGTTTTCTTGGTGAAGTTTAACGTTATCAAATAATTTTCAGTTACCGTTGTTTTACACTTAAGAAACTAACAGACGTTCGACTGACTACTATACCTGTAGAGTAAATAAATGCAGTTACAAAGCAGATTTGTGTCGACCAACGAAAAACCGGCTTTATGATGAAGTAAAGGTAGAGTAGACGGAATCTCGAGTGATTACAACAAATGTATTTCACTTCTAAGGCTTGACGTTATTTAACTTCCTCTCGTGGATCTTACCACTAACCTATCCGGTGACGGGTCAATATCCTACACTGCATAATCTCTCCAGTAGTGCATATGAGTTTGTGAAGAAAACATTACCCTGGCTTTATAATGTTATAACAATCTGCGTGCCATTTGCACACATTCTGCACAAGACTTAAAATTCGAACCTAAATTTCGAGTTATGATATTTTTTATATATCATAGATGTCTTGGTCAACTCACACGATTTTGATTATTTTTCAGTCCACAGAGTCGTCAAACTACTTATGAGGTGTTTAGTTACGATCTACTTTCCCGATAGAAGAGCCCCCCCCCCCAGTGGCACAGCGGTATGTCTGCGGACTTACAACGCTAGAATCCTGGTTTCGATACCCGTGGTGAGCAGAGCTCAGATAGTCCATTGTGTAGCTTTGTGCTTAATTGCAAACACCCCGAGAGAAGAAATTATCCCCTAAAATATAAAATACTGCAAGTAAAATACAAATTCTAATTCCGATATTAAAGATAGACAGTTTTGAACGTAATTTGAACCCGTTTTACATTTCAACTATAGTCGCTAGTTTCATATCCAATGTGGGTTTTACTGAACTTCAAACCTGCGAACGAAATACAAACGTATCGCTAGGTGACGCACACATGGTTCCTGCACGAGATAACGTTACCAGAGAATATTAACCAAACGCTCACCAGAGGTGTTTTTACCTTAAAGGTGTAGCTAGAATACATTAACGAATTGCAAAATACAGTGATTGATATATCCATCTGTTGCTATATACATTATCCAATTGGCCCATCCATATAACCCATTCCATCCACCTATCTGTTCTATTCCATCCTTCAGTTCATATATCCATTCTATCAATCCATATGTCATATATCCCATTCTATCAATCCATATGTCATATATCCCATTCTATCAATCCATATATCATATATCCCATTTTATCAATCCATATATCATATATCCCATTCTATCAATCCATATATCATATATCCCATTCTATCAATCCATATATCATATATCCCATTCTATCAATCCATATATCATATATCCCATTCTATCAATCCATATATCATATATCCCATTCTATCAATCCATATATCATATATCCCATTCTATCAATCCATATATCATATATCCCATTTTATCAATCCATATATTATATATCCCATTCTATCAATCCATATATCATATATCCTATTCTATCAATCCATATATCCTATATCCCATTCTATCAATCCATATATCATATATCCCATTCTATCAATCCATATATCATATATCCCATTTTATCAATCCATATATCATATATCCCATTCTATCAATCCATATATCATATATCCCATTCTATCAATCCATATATCATATATCCCATTCTATCAATCCATATATCATATATCCCATTCTATCAATCCATGTATCATATATCACATTCTATCAATCCATGATTTATGATTGGTTATATCTAAATATCGAACGGTCATAGTTATTTATTCATTAATTCTGGTTTGTGTTTTAGATTACGGGAGCTTTCCGCGCACCTCACCCATGGTGACGTCCCCGTTCCTATCCTTCAGGAGACACTCCGATATGCTGCTTGTGTGCTTGAAACCATATCAATGGAAGAAGCCAGGTAAGTGAGAACCAAGACTGAGCTGATTGAGGCTGACTTTTGAAACGCGATCTTCATAGTTGATCATGGGAGCTGACTGAAAACTATTTTCTTTTATAAAACATAAACAGAATAAAAATGAAAGAAACAAAAGTTGGTGAAGAAAACCTGGCACATGAGCACTTACAGTTGGCTGAAAATATATAAACATTAGCGATTTCTTTAATTAAGGGCAAGCAAAATATTAGGATAGGTGTAGGGCCTTTGAGGGATGATAAAGGAAGGCTCATATCAGACAATTCGGAGTTGGTTGGGTTATTAAATTTTTTTGGAGATAATTCAGAGAAGAGCCGCTAGGATGATGCCCAGAATGTAAATGTCTCTGAAGTTGTTGTCTCTTGAAGAAAGAAGGGTTAAAGGAAATGTGATTGGGGTGTATAAGATCGTTAATGTAACTGATAGTGTCGATGGATCATATTTTTTTCGTACCTCATGGTAAGAATGGTAGAACTAGGGGACACAAATATAAATTGAAACAGGTTAGAAGTCATCTTCAACAAAGACGGTTTTATTCTTATAACTGGATAATTGGCCTTTGAGTGATATTCAGATGTTTCCACAGTAAATTCAAGGAAGTTTAAGGGAAGATTTGATAAATAACTGAATGATAAAGGCTGACTTTCAGTTTATATATATAGTTTAGTTTAGCTTAGGTGGGTCAACAGGTCCCTTGTTGTCCTTAAATGTTATGTTAGATTGTGTATATATTATGATCCTACTGGCTTAGTCGGGGTATTGCCCGAGTCAAATTTGGACTTTCTTATGAATATCCTTATTTGTGTTTACTAGGCTCACCACTAAATAACCCTGCTCCCCACCTCCACCTTCACTTTAATTGTATTCTTTAATTGCAGATTATGGACTAGTGATGACATTTCTTATGCACCTTATTTCAAGTAGTCTATATACATATGGTTCAGTATAAACTTTCTGAAATATTTTTATAGTAAAATTATTTAGAGATAATAAACATCATAAGATACAAGATTGTTGTTTTCCTAACGAAAATTATTTTATGGAAAAATACAGCTATGTCTCTTTTCATGGTGTAAATATAGGTTTTTTTATTCTTGACTCGTTTCAACATGCTTTTCATGGTGTAAACATAGGTTTTTTTATTCTTGACTCGTTTCAACATGCTTTGTTCCTGGTTTTAAACTCTTTGTTGTCTACGCATATCTGGCAAAGAAAAGAAAAAATACAGCAACATCACCAGATTTGTATTTGCAATATATAGAAAGTAGGGTTAACCGTGTAATGCAAAGATTACATATATATTATATATACTCCTTCAAAACAAGATAAAAATACACAAACACAATCTTTTCGATTTCTTTTTCAAACTTTTATATAGTTTTTTTTTCACCGAATTTCCTTCAATGAAAGTCGTGAACCAAGTTTGTTGGTTCTTTCCTTTCTACTAAAATAAATTCATTGCACGTTCTAGTAACAGCCTACTTTAAAATACTATTGGTCTGTTACCTTGATTACAACGTTATCAAAAACTAAGTGCAACGTATTTTCTACTGCCTAGAAAGTTGGTGTTGCACAGACAAATCCATATTCTAGTATAACACGCAATGGTTAGGAATAAAGCTGTATATGGATGGGTATTATTTTAGTATTTCTTCAAGATTTTAGTGAAAATCTGCAGCGTTTATAAAATCTTGATAAATATGTTCTGAAAATATATTGCTGGATTAGCCTCAAACCCCTGACAACTTATATGGCTGATGAGGATCCGCGCTAGCAGCTCGAAACGTCGTCAAATTACTTTTAAGGCAGATGTGGTCTGCAGAAGTCTCCAATAAAGTAACTTAACGACTATTGTTGCCATCCTGAAGTCTAAAGACAGTGTATCAATATTATATCTAAACAAATCTATAGTTTATCACCTAATTCACTGATATGCTCATCTAATGAATACTATATGTCTCTATATAACTGTCTATAAGTGACATTCCTTCAAGCCAGTTTATTCAATAGTAAGATAATGAGCATATCTCGTGCGACTAAACTTCTGCCATATCATCAAAACAGTGTTTATGTTCATGATTCAGTTAAGATAGTAACGTAAGTCCAGTGGAGGACTCTTTGTGTAGACATTATCTCAAGTTCAGTGGAAAACTCTTTGTGTAGACATTATCTCAAGTTCAGTGGAAAACTCTTTGTGTAGACATTATCTCAAGTCCAGTGGAGGACTCTTTGTGTAGACATTATCTCAAGTTCAGTGGAGGACTCTTTGTGTAGACATTATCTCAAGTCCAGTGAAGCACTTTTTGTGTAGACATTATCTCAAGTCCAGTGGAGGACTCTTTGTGTAGACATTATCTCAAGTCCAGTGGAGGACTCTTTGTGTAGACATTATCTCAAGCCCAGTGGAGGACTCTTTGTGTAGACATTATCTCAAGTCCAGTGGAGGACTCTTTGTGTAGACATTATCTCAAGTCCAGTGGAGGACTCTTTGTGTAGACATTATCTCAAGTCTAGTGGAGGACTCTTTGTGTAGACATTATCTCAAGTCCAGTGGAGGACTCTTTGTGTAGACATTATCTCAAGTCCAGTGGAGGACTCTTTGTGTAGACATTATCTCAAGTCCTAGTGGAGGACTCTTTGTGTAGACATTATCTCAAATCCAGTGGAGGACTCTGTGTAGACATTATCTCCTCAATCGTCATCTTAGAAAATTAAGTTATTCTGGAATGTCACAATTTTTTAAACATGAAGCTCCAGTAGCAGATATAAATTATATTAAAATCTAGATACACCATTTATTTTCGAGTTTAGAAATGACTCCTTGAACGGTTATTTCACATCTACTTGCTAATACTGTTTCTTTGATATAACTTTTTAAAGATAACTGAACAGATTTGATATTCAGTAATGAATATTTGATCTCATTTCTTTTTGTTGTTGTTGTTGTTTCGCGTGTGGTGCATGATATTCTTGTTCCATTCCCACAAAAAAGCTTAAGAAGTGATTCGACAACTTAAATGAAACTTTAGCCTAAAAGTGTATGTCTTCATTAGGTTTATCACTTATCTATATGCTAGTCTTTACACTCGGAAACCACATTGTTCAGATTAGCACAACTCTAGTGGTTGTTCTTACTTAAATCTTGGATTCTATTGGTAGTTCTTACATAAATCAACTTAGTGAGAAAAAGAAAATTATATTACGTAGGAGCCAATCATTGTCCAAGAAAAAAATAGGTCTGAATGCATTTATCTTGAGTGACGAAAACAGTTCACTGGGGGGGAGGGAGAGGGGTATGTGTTAATGGTAAATATTATATCTTAATTACTATATTACAAAATATTTTGTATGCATTAAGATACATTTTGCTCTTTATTATATTTATTATTATATCAAAATAACAAATTATAGCAAACGTCTGCGAGAGAGAGATTACAGGGAATCGAAAGTTCTTACTAAAGAGCAGAAAGCTTGTAGTTTTTATCACTTATCTGTCATAAACATTACCTAAAACAAGGAAAATAATGTATAACAAACACTGCAAGCAGTTGCACCCTAATTTTATCAGACATCTTAACACAAATGTATATTTATAACGGGAGAAAAGTTCTTTCCACGGAAAAATATTGGCACAGTGATATTATTAAAAGGTGAATAGCCAATAGATAAAATTATCTTTGAAACTACATATCAACCCACTTCGGAGCAGCTACCTCATTCGTAAAATGGATGTGATTACGAAAGAGAACCTTTCAATCCAAAAGGATTTTGTAATGAAACTGGGAATATCTCTTGGTATTATTAACAAGATAATTAACAAATATATGAAGGTGGCGAAGGTTCACAAGTTTCAAGCCACACTCGGAAATCAACCTCGCTGTTCTTTACAAAAGCTCCTTACAATAGAAATTATAGTACAGAAACTATAACCCGAGTTTTAGCGAAAGTCCGGTGATTAGTGCAGTGTAAATACAGTTCACAGTGTTGAATTATGCAAATGGTAGTTTGATATACTAGTTATTGCTGTTCGAAACACTGTGGGTCAAAATTAGAAATAAATCCGATAACATTCAGTTGAATTAGCTCTTGCTTCAGTGGACACAGGCTTTAATTAGGTCGACAATCTGCTCCTTGTATTCTAGAAGAGCAAATAAAATATAATGGATTTAAATATATATATATATATACTTTTATAAAATGGTGGTTTAATTAACTAGAAACTATATATATCAACTTCAGCATCCATCTAAACGAATTTGCCAGAAGGTTCTTGTTAACTAGCTTCAGTCTTGTGAAAAATTGCTTATGGTCCAGAAAATGTTCGAATTCAACCTCCAAACGTATTTGCTGACTACATATTAAATTCAGTAGCTCTTACTTGATTCTACAAATATTTTTTCTTGCTCAAAGCGATCATCATCTCAGAACCTCCGCAAATCCCACTTTGTCATCGAGGTATAAAATACAAACGCTCTAAAAACAAATTCCAACTCATTTTTACAAAGAAAATATTATGTATACATGTATTAATTGTTAGCCGTATAAATAATACATGGAAAAAAAATTCCCTTTGTTCAGCTGGAAGCGATATGCAAATTTCAAGAGACACTACGTTTTATTTTGTTAAAATACATATTACATTTGTATTAATTAATTTAGTTGGACCATCACCACGTTGTTTTAGTTGTATTTTTTGTTGTTGTTGCTATTAAGCTTTTAATATACAAGCTTTCGGCGCAATTACTTGAGCCTTTTACAAGTGCAAGACGTAACAGGATCTCCTTTTACGAGTATAAGTAAGAGTACTCAATTATAGGCCTAAAAAGTTACTTACAAATTGTATAGTCTCTCCGAAACGTATAAACAATGAAAGATAAATGTAACAAAATTACTTTTATTGTCAATGAGTTAACACTTTCTATTGTTATAAAAATAATAGTTTACGTACGATTAATATATGTAAGTATTGTATCTCATCATTTGGTCCTTTGCCAAAATGTAAATTGTTTAGCCACTGAGTTGTGTTTAGTTTTGATTCAACCATAATACATTTTTATAAAGAATGGGTTCGCTAAAGAATTAGAAAACAGTAAAAAACTTTTTTATAATTAAATGTATAGATTGCAACTAATTAAACAGTTTTTTAGCGATTTAACATACACTTTTTTCCTTCCCTATATAATTTCACTCAAAGTCATTTTCCTATTGTCTACTATATTTTCTCAGATGGTTGATGGAAGAAGAGGAAGATGACTTGTCCGAAGTTCATCCAGACGCTGTCCCCAACGAAGTCAGAGAATGGCTAGCTTCCACATTTACTCGCCAGGCAGCAGCACAGCGAGTACGCTCTGATGATAAACCTAGGTTTAGGTCGGTAGCCAATGCCATTCGTGCAGGCATTATGGTAGACAGGTAAGTGTGGCCATCTGGCGTAAATTACTGAGCATCATATATATTTTTTCAAATTTATTTTTATTTCGGTTTGTTAATATTTGTTAATGTATTTTACTACTCCAATCAAATTATTTTAGAGAAAAAAAAATCAAATAATAAGTTTCCATTTGTATACAACACTTTTCGTTCCAAATTTATGCTAATAGCGAATACATCTAATGGGAGTTATTTCCTTCATAAAAAGGTTTTGTAATAACTTTAGCTATAGCGTTTCTATCTCTTTAGCTGCATTGCTGTCAAATTATCAAACTAATAATTTTAATTTGTTAAATAAACCACCATAAAAGAAAACAACAACAACAGACGCAATCAAATTAAAGAAATAAATATCTGGAAGCAATCTATTGCAAAACAATAATAATAAGTAATGAAACCTTCCTGTATGTTCTGTAATGTTGCCGTATTATTCTTCAGAGCATAATTGTTTTAATTTTACACCGTACTAAAATTGTTTTTATATACACCGTACTAAAATTGTTTTAATCTTACGCCATACTTGAATCGTTTTAATATTGCACTTTACTAGAATCGTTTACATTTTACTCTATACTAGAACAGTTTTAATTTCACACTGTACTAGAATTGTTTTAATTCTACACCGTGCTAGAACTGCTTACATTTTACACTATACTAGAACAGTTTTAATTTCACACTGTACTAGAATCGTTTTAATTCTAAAATGTAAACAGTTCTAGCACGGTGTACACTATACTAGAACGGTTTTAATTTCACACTGTACTAGAATCGTTTTAATTTTAAAATGTAAACAGTTCTAGCACGGTGTGCATCGTACTATAATCGTTTAATTTTACGCTATACTAGAATTGTTTAAAATGTACTCCATACTTAAATAATTTTAGTTTAACACCGTACAAGAATTTTTAAAATTTTATACCGTACTAGAAACGTTTTAATTATATACAATAATCGAACAGATAAAATAAAAAGAACTAACCTAAAATCTTTATTTGATTTCAATTAAAAGGAAAGAGAAAATTAGCAATGTCAGGTCAAAGAGGGAAGTTTATAAAACGTTATGCTTATTACCATCCATACTAGAAATATCGTTACACAACGGGAAGGAAAAAATGATTTCAAATGATAGAGTTACAAAGCATTTGTAATTCACGTTAAAAAAGTTTTGCGCAATACAGTTGGTTTCATAAATATCCCCCCTTGTGACACAGCGGCATGTCTACTGGCTTACAACGCTAGAAACCGGGTTTCGATACCCGTGGTGGGCAGAGTACAGATAGCCCATTGTGTAGCTTTGTGCTTAACATAAATATCTAGAGATCTTTGTCTACAATCGAAAACTGAATTTATATTATTTTACAAAGAAAGTCGCTCAGAGTTCAAAGTTAGATAAAGTGTTTCACTGAAATTATGTTTTGTTAAAAGCTTGTCATTATAAACAGGATATATCGGAGATTGTCGAGTTCGTCTCTGATGCAACAAATACCGCCTCAAGTCATGCAGCACCTAAAGGTAATGTTCTTAGTGCTTTGTAATAGGTTTCGTTAATTCATTTTTACGATCTTGTTTAAAATATCTTGATTATTAATTAGAAATTATCTTAATATTGGTTTATTGTTCTTTCCATTAACGTATTTATGCAAATTATTTAATCTTATTTTATAGTAGCACTGTCGTGCAGTGAATAACGTGTTACAAGAGGGCGCTGCGGTATTCGACAATATGTCTAATCATGTTCGAGGTGGAGCGGTTTTATGTTAATATAATCATCCCCCTGTGGGTCAACGGTAAGTTTACGGACTTACAATGTTAAAATCTGGGGTTCGATTACCCGCGGTGATCAGAGAGCATATAGTCCATTGTGTAGTTTCGCGCTAAAAATACAACAACAATTTATATAATATGTTTTGAAGACGGCATTGTTTGCCCTACAGGACCTATTAATTCATTTATGCACATAACAATTTTGTTAGCATAATGCTATGAATTGTTAGAAGTATCTACTTAGCTATGTACCTGAATGCTGCAGCTAATGGCTATCCGATGACGTCATTATGATTGTTAGTGTATATAGTTCCAAGTTAATTGACACACAACTTATTTAAGCTGCATACAGCACATCGTTGTTGTCGTCAATACGCTATTGTCACTTTCCCATCAAGAACAAATGAAAACTCCTAAAGTAAATATGAAGCCCATGAGTTGTGCTATAAATTACATGTTCAGCGCGGTCTGAAGTTAGAAAATATTTCAGAAGATTAAATTCTAAAGATTTCTACATTATATTAATGCTATTGTCTTTATTTAGTAACCTGTAAGTGTGCCATTGATCGTAATATTAATATACGTACATTTTTTTAGAGCAATATAAAATAGTCGCTAACACAGTATTGCTAAAAATATACACTATAATTCAAACGAAGTTGTAGGAACGTCAGTAAAGAGGTGTTGCTAAAAGTTCTGCTGGTCAGAAGTCTGCAATTTCTTTGTCTGTAAGAGTGTTGTAATTGTAGTCCCCAGAAGATAACATCCACAGAAGACCAGAACACCTGCAAAAGAACTAACCACGTATATATTAGAAAATCAGAGGAATAATAACACGTGGTAAAGTGACGTGCAGAGAAGGATATTACCGAATGATATCCTAAGTTGATAAATCTAGTACAAAGTTCATTTGATACCAATATCACTAAGGTTCAATCAATAGCTATTCGTGGAAATTATCATTGGTTCATATACTCATTTTATATAAACACTTGTGAGGTTGCACTCAAGTTCAAACTTGAGTAATGGCCTAGAATCGGTTTAGGAAACACGAGGTTTAGGCTTTTTTTTTATATTGCTACTCATTTTAGATTATAACATTTAGAGAAATTAAATACTATATGGCACCATGTATTCAGATTTTCTTGTTTAAACATATGACATCTCACGCTCAGTTTTTTGTTTGGATATATGACATTGCACGTTCAGTTTTGAGTATATGACATCGCACACTCAGCCTTTTGTTTGGATATATGATATCGCACACTCAGCTTTTAGTTTGAATATATGATATCGCACGTTCAGCTTTTTGTTTGGATATATGATATCGCACACTCAGCTTTTTGTTTGGATATATGATATCGCACGTTCAGTTTTTTGTTTGGATATATGATATCGCACGTTCAGCTTTTTGTTTACATATATAGCATTGCACGTTCAGTTTTTTTTTACTATATATAGCATTAAACGTTCAGTTTTGAGTATATGTTATCGCACACTCAGCCTTTTGTTTGGGCATATGACATCGCACGTTCCATTTTGTTTGGATATATGACATCGCACGCTCAACTCTTTGTTTTTTAGATGTACGATATCACATATTCAGTTGTGTTTTTATATGATATTAGATATTCAACTTTTGTTGTTTAAATCTTTGACTCACGTGCTCAGCTTTTATTGTTTATATATTTGATATCTCGTACCCTACTTTAGTTGGTCAAATATATAATATTATATGCTCAGGTTTTCTCGTTTGGATATATTTCTAAATTAACTCTAAACTAGCTTGTTTTCATCTGGAAATACTAATATTTACACACCTCATATTTAATAGAATATCGATGAGTGGTCTTTTGATGTCTTTGCTGTTAACGAGGCTGCCAATGGACAAGCTCTACGGTATATTAGCTATGACCTTTTGAACCGCTATGGCATCATACAAAAGTTCAAGGTAAGAATACGTTCGATATAATTTAACTCACCCAACAGCTATAGGCAAATACGTAAGGTGCAGAAAGTTAACTATTCTTCTAATAATGTTGGTTGTTTATTATTTTCATGTAAATAAGTAATCCATTCATTGTAACGCTCATAAGCTCCAGGCATTCTTCTTCAGATCAATGTTTCGTCTTAAATACTGAAAGTATTTGTTACTTTTAATCTGACCAGCATTTTATGCGACACATGGGTTAAATAATCAGGTAAGACACTAAAGTTCAGGTATAGCCGTCCCTACATTTTAATTGCTGACCAGAGGGGAGGGGAGGAGTCGCCCACCCGACTACTACTAACCCAATAGTGAAAGTCACTTTTATTTTTATAATCCGCTTACAGTTGAAAGTGAGGGTCATGTTCAGCGTGTTCCAACCTTAGACCTCCAGATCCGCAGCCCAGCACGTTAACAAGGGATTCATGCCTGACATTGGTTGAAAGTGATTTAATATCCTAAAAGTATATATACATATACAAAACGTTATCACATAAAATAAAAAAGTGAATAAATTGTAAAGTGCACCAGTATTTTGTTTATGAGCCATTTAATGCTTGGAGACGGCTTGAATGGGTAATGAAGAAAAACTTACATTAAAGTTTTTCTTCGTTACTCATTCAAACCGTCTTCAAGGGTTATTAGTCTCAAAGTGAGTTCCTCGTCATCAAATTATGAGCCATTTGTTTACACAGAGCACAACGCAAAATTTTAATGCTGACGTACAGTTTATCAATAGTCTATTGTGAAATATTGTCCTTTGTTACCCCCCCCCCAAGTTGTTTGGTCATCTTTGGCTCTTCCTAGTTTTTAGATAATGCATACAGCCTAGAGAATGCTCACATCGGCAAGTTGTACAGACCAAGCCCTGGTTGTGAATGTTCCATTGGCCTCTTTACCGTCGAGATTTCATTTTATCGCATTCCTGTATGCTTAGGATCGTTGTCGTTGCCCAGCGAGTCGTGTTTCAGAGGGAATGAAATGATGAATCAGAATCTGCCTATACTTGTCAACAGTCAAAGTGCCATAAATTATTTTCCCGAAAGAGGGCTGTGGCTGCTTGAAGGGGTCACCTGTTTTGACCACTCGTACCACTATATAGTAGTGTGTTGTCTGTCCGTCAGTCATTAGACATTAAAATGATGTAACATAAGGGAGGGACGCTTAACGTTGCAATTTGTACTGTCGTGGCGTCAGTAAAACGTGCGCATGTCATGAATCACGAGAAGAATTGTGCACTCTGTAGGCTACAGCACAGCATGACATATGAATTTCAAATTGAGAAATAAAAATATTTGTTACTCTTAATTTTGGTTTTATCTACTCTTGAAACAGAACACTTTTGGGAACTTTGCGGAAGTACATCTAGCATATAGATTGCCGACACATTGGGTAAGATGCAATCCGGAACTTCTTCTCACCCCACACCATACTGCACTTTAGATGCTGCTCATTGTCTTTGATGACGTTCCACTCTCCGCCGTTTGGTTTAATTGTTTATGAGCAAAGCCACATTACATTATCTGCTTTGTCCTCCGCGGGAAATCAAACCCCCGAACTTTAGCGTTGATAAGTCCGTAGACTAACCGCTGTCGAACAATTTGAACTTGTTTGCGGTCCGATGGGAGAGATGTGTTCAAGCAGCAAGTGGAATGAAGTGGAGTGCAACACCTTAACAGCTTGGGAGAGACTCCTTCTTGGCTCTAGGGGGGAATGTGTTCAAGCAGCAAGTGGAATGAAGTAGAGTGCAACACCTTAACAGCTTGGGAGAGACTCCTTCTTGGCTCTAGGGAGGAATGTGTTAAGCAGCAAGTGGAATGAAGTAGAGTGCAACACTTTAACAGCTTGGGAGAGACTCCTTCTTGGCTCTAGGGGGGAATGTGTTCAAGCAGCAAGTAGAATGAAGTAGAGTGCAACACTTTAATAGCTTGGGAGAGACTCCTTCTTGGCTATGGGGAGGAATGTGTTCAAGCAGCAAGTGGAATGAAGTAGAGTGCAACACTTTAATAGCTTGGGAGAGACTCCTTCTTGGCTATGGGGAGGAATGTATTCAAGCAGCAAGTGGAATGAAGTAGAGTGCAATACTTAATAACTCGAAACTGATTTTCTACATCAGTAAAGTTCACGTAATGAAAATAGATTATTTACAATTGGAATTTTTGTTTTGTGCTTCTTCCGTAAAATTCCAGTCAAGCTTGTCAGAGGTGTTTCGTTGCTTGCTATGTAATCTCCAACTATTATGACAGATGGAGTTAATTTATAACTTGAAAATAAAACACAGTAATTGAAGGCTGTTAAGCCTATATACTCTATAATATGGTCATATATTAGCTTTTTGTACACAATAATGTGTGACATGTTAACCCTATAAGTTCAGAACACTTATCTTCAGTCGATCAGATAATTTTAATAGTACGAGACCGTAGTATTAGGTTTTATTTGACTTCTTTTTCTTTTTTAAAATGCGCAGATTCCGACTGCTGTTCTGGAGAACTTTTTGGTCCAAGTGGAGCTTGGGTATGGCAAACACAAAAATCCTTACCACAATAACATCCATGCTGCTGACGTCACTCAAACTGTGCATTACATGATCTGGCACTCTGGATTAGCGGTAAGGAGTTATGTATTTTATTACAGCTTTAAGGAATTATGTGTTTCATTACAGCTTGTAAGGATTTATGTATTTAATTACAGCTTGTTAAATAAAAACATGAAGCGAAGATCAAGCAATATTCGAACTCTGTCTTTGCTGATCTAACATGCGCTTTTATAAACAGAGGTACAGAGGTTCAAGATATTCGAGCCCCTGCCCCCTACTGATCTAACACGCACTTCTGTTAAGACAGATATAAAAAAAGATAAGGACATTCGATCTCATATCTCTACTGGTAAAACTTAGAATTCCTATAAACACAGGTATAAAGTACGAGAATGTGCGAAACCCTCTGGTCAAAAGTGCAACCCTGTAAACTTAAATACAGAGATCAAGGATATCCGAAGCCCTGATCCTACTGATCGAACATGCATTCCTATAAACGTAAATATAAAGATCAAACCATATCCGAACCCCCTGACCCTTCTGATCGAACATGCTTTCCTATAAATGTAAATATAAAGATCAAACCATATCCGAACCCCCTGACCCTTCTGATCGAACAATGCTTTCCTATAAATTTATGTTTAGAGAACAAGCCATACTAGAGCTTCTGTCTCAGCTTACACTGGACAACAAAAACTTGCTACTGGAGAAAATTCAAGTGATTCTGTGTAATTTGATGGTGGTGATTTCAAACATGTAGTCAGAATTTGTCCATCACCTCTAGAGTTTCAGTTAATATAATATCTCAATATTTTATCAGCACTGTGTGAAATACCATGCAATCAACTCAGTACAATAGATTTATGCTGTGAAATTAAATTTACTTGGACAGTTTAATGTGTAAAAGGCATACATTTTTGATAACTTCAAACATTGACTGTATTGGTATGAAATTCCAAATATATTGTTCATATATGCTATTTGTTCTCGGTATGATCTTAGCCAATTGCACAACTTTTGCTTCATTCCCACGCTCACCTGCTTCACCCGGGAATCATGAAACCCTCACGTGCTCAGCTTGCTAGACCATTCGAGAAGTCTTTGAATATAAAAGGGGCGGAGTCAGACGCCTCTTTCTCAGTTGCTCTCACTCACTCATTTGGTCACTTGGTCTAGTTTCACGCACAGTCAAAATAAAGTCCAATCCTCTTCCTCGTATCATACCCGTGATATAATCAAATTCTGCAAAAGTTCGTTTTTTAAAATATTTTGAACTCTAGTTCTGTAAACATAAATTCTTTCATAGTTTTTAGAAAATCATTTGAAATACTGTCTGCCTCCAATTCAAGTAAAATCCGAAAGTGCAAAAATCACCCAAACAGTTTCTGCTGGGTTTGTGAAAACTATATTACAGTTTTACGAAAGAAAAACATCATACACAAGGTAAAGGTAGCTTACTACCACTATTTTGGGTATAAAATTGGTGACCAAGAAAAACATTGGGCTCCACATGTGTGTTGTACAGTTTGCAAATCTGGCTTGACACGGTGGCTGAATAAGAAGAAAACGAGTGTGTCACTGCAGTTCTCATGATATGGCGTGAGCCCAAAGATCATCTAACTGACTGTTATTTTTATATTACAAATGTTTCTGGATATTCAGGCAAAAGTAAACAATACATTAAATATCTAGATATTGCATCTGTAATAAAACCAGTACCTCATGGGGATAGTCTTCCAGTGCCACATCCACCAGCGAATTGGGAAACAGAAGAGTTATCAATGAACCATCTTCATTATCTTCACCTAGTAATCCTATTCCTGTGGCACCTCAACATAACCTGCCTCATCTGATCACACAAGTAGAGCTAAATGATCTGATTCTTGGCTCTCGTTTATTAGCTCCAGGAACAAGAGTTTCATTTGACTGAAGTCACCACCAAAGTCTTGCTTCTCACTATAGCAAGAAATATACTTTGGGTTTCTGTAGAAATGTTGATATAATAATGGAAGATTAGGTACTGAACATCACCCTCAAGAATGGATACTTTTTTTTTATAGACTCATCTAAAGTTAGTCTGAAAGCTGTACTTTTGCACAATGAGAACACTAATCCATCGATTCCTGTTGCTCATGCTGTGAACATGAAAGAAACATGAAAACATGCAGATTATACATTCTTAAGTGCAATTTCCAATGAATAAATAAAGTTATCAAAGAAAACTTGTTTTCACGATATATAAGAATATTTTGAATAAATCTATCATAACTCAAAAACTAGACATGATCAGTAATTTTCAACATGATTTTTAGAATCAGCATCGTTAAATTATTCAGAAACAGTTGTATTTTTCTTTCTTTTCTTTCCTTCACAGAACTGGTTGACGGATTTGGAAGTGTTTGCTACCGTATTCTCAGCCATCATTCATGATTTTGAGCATACAGGCACGACTAACAACTTCCACGTTATGTCTGGGTAAGTGTGAATACAATTAACAAAGGTTGTGATTAATTACAATTTCAATGGTTAATGGAATAGTTATACGTTCTTACAAAAACGAATTAATAAAAGTGAAAATATTTAAGTTAATTCTGGCCTATCAACAGCAACTGAGTTCTCAAAGTTAACATTTTTCGAAAGTTTTAACTGACATCCAAACTCAACTACGCACCTGTTTTTTAATATAATTATTTTAAGTTATCTAGAAAGGAAATAACGTTTGGTCATTCAGTGAGTTTCAGATAATCGATTTAGTACTGGGTTACGGCCATGGCAAGTCGAATTAAGTTTCTATTAGGCCTTATGCTAGAATATCGAAATTTTCCACTGTAGGCCACGCAAAAATATACGAACTTCATCAAATAATTATTATTATGAACAGTTTGTTTGTTTGGTGTTATGTATAAGGCTACACAATGGGCTATCTGTGCTCTGACCTACCACATATATCGAAACCCAATTTTTAGCGTTATAAGTCTTCAGACTCACCACTGAGCCACCAGGGGGACTACTATGAAAAATGGATTGCACGTTATTAGCTAGTGCTGCCAACACTATTGTTGTTATTTATTGTACGATTCTCTTACTCATTTCACTTAAATTAATTTTTTTTATCTTCGTAAACAATAGTTGTTATTATTGTTTTCTGCACTATCTCTGCTATCCTGTTACTCGTGCCGCGGAAAGTTTTACTCAGATATCAGGTTACTCAATAATTACACTATCGGAGACGGGCTGTCGTTTTTCACAACACGATATAAGGGGTGGTTATCTAATGTTTGTTTTGAATCTCGCGCAAAGCTACACGACGGCTATCTGCGCTAGCCGTCCTAATTTAGCAGTGTAAGGCTACAGGGAAGGCAGCTAGTCATCACCACCCACCGCCAACTCTTGGGCTACTCTTTTACCAACGAATAGTGGGATTCACCGTCACATTATAACGCCCCAACGTTATAATGGGTGAGCATGTTTGATGTGACGGGGATTCGAACCCGCGAACCGCAGATTGCGGGTCGAGTGCCCTAACCACCTGGCCATGCCAGGCGAGGGTGGTTATTTAAAGTTGAGAGTTTACAGGTGTCAAATTCTCCAAGGAATATCAAACGTACGATAGTGCGTGAAACAACTTTATGGTTTGTGCGTTCCCTAAATAAGGTACTCTTTATATAATGTTACTTTCATTAACAGTATAGGTTTTAATTTTTAGATCATCTGTTTTTATGATTTTTATTATCATTATAGTTTTGCTATACAGATTAATTTGCTTTTTTAACTTAGTATTTGGACTTAGGCCTAACATATATCGTCTAAGCTGGTCGAATCTTGTGAGATACTATTGGGTTTACGGCCGAAAATATCGTTAACAGCGAGGGTACCAAACTGATGAAACAATGCATTCTAATCTTTATAAGTGAGAGTAGAATATTCAATTAGCTGTACTCATCTCTAGGTTGATATTCACTTCTGATATATGTATGTAAGTAACTTTCTTTGATTAGAAGTAATTGTTACTTATAAACAGATAGCAAATTTGTTGAGATAATTCTTGTATTCCGCAAACGTTAACTTGTTATTCTTTTATGTTTAGTATTTGACAATGAAGTTGAAATCTGTCATGTCAGAGTTCGTACAGTACACAGGTAGCTAACGCTTGTTTGTTTGAAAGTAAGCACAAAGCGACACAAGAAGGATATCTGTTCTCTGCCCACCACGGGTATCGAAAACCGGTTTCTAGAGTTGTAAGCCCGCAGACGTGCCGCTGTGCCACTGAGAGACATGTGGCCAACGTGCGGCACGTATGCAACACGCGTGCGAGGCTAAAACTACGACACGCCTTACATTTCAAAAATATCACCTGTTGTAGTATGTCGCATGAATTTTGTTTGGCATTTCCGCGAACGCGTCAAGTACTATAAAAAAATGCGTGTCATATTACTAACTTTTCAATTCAATTTGTGATACCTGTAAACTTGACTATTTGAACGCTCCTGGACTTTGATTTGGAATGTTTTATTGAGTCAGTGGCGCCTTACCCAAAATTCAGAACTGGCATCACTGCCAAAAAGGTTGGTCACTATCTGTAGTGTAATACTTCATAGCTTATAACTAGCATAGTGATCTGTGTTGTTCGAATACCTACATTAGCTCTGTATGTGCTGCGTTGAGTAACGTTAATCTGAAAACCGATTTGAAGTTGTCTTCTTCAAGAATTTTCTTTCCATTCAGCTCAGATACTGCTCTTCTCTACAACGATCGAGCAGTTTTGGAGAATCATCATTTGAGTGCAGCTTTCAAGCTACTTAAGGAAGACGATTATAATATTCTTCAGAACTTTAGCAAAGAAGAATTCAGGTGTGACAAGCATTTATTCTCTTAGAATAGTGATACAGAATATATAATAAGTATCCTTGTCAACAAAATGTAAAAAAAAAGAAAGAAAATATCATATTTTTGAACTTGTAGTTGTGTTGAGTACAACTAAAATGACGTATCGGTGATTTTTGAACTTGTAGTTGTGTTGAGTACAACTAAAATGACGTATCGGTGATTGAGTTTCGTACAAATACAATAGTATCTTTAACGTGTATCTGTTTAGTACAAAAAATAACAACAACAACGTATTTAACTTCTATTTGTATTCAGTACAAATAACATAATGTGTTATGTTTAATTTGTATTTAGTACAAATAACATAATATGTTCTGTTTAATTTGTATTTAGTACAAATAACATAATGTGTTCTGTTTAATTTGTATTCAGTACAAATAACATAATATGTTCTGTTTAATTTGTATTTAGTACAAATAACATAATGTGTTCTGTTTAATTTGTATTCAGTACAAATAACATAATATGTTCTGTTTAATTTGTATTCAGTACAAATAACATAATATGTTCTGTTTAATTTGTATTCAGTACAAATAACATAATATGTTCTGTTTAATTTGTATTTAGTACAAATAACATAATATGTTCTGTTTAATTTGTATTTAGTACAAATAAAATAATGTACTTGATGATGACAAACCCTTGTCGAAATGTTGTACATTTGCTGTTATGTTAAACTTATATTAAAGTTTTTCTTCATTACCCATTTAAGCCGTCTCCAGCCATTATTAGTCTCAAAGTGGGTTCCTCGTCATCGAAAATAAAATAATGTGTTCTGTTTAATTTCTATTCAGTACAAATAACATAATGTGTTCTGTTTAATTTGTATTTAATACAAATAAAATAATGTATCTTTAGATGCGTTTCGTGCAAATAGTATGTTTAATTTTACGTGTTTAGTACAAATACAAAATGCATGAAACTTGTAGTTATGTTTAGTACAAATAAAATAACGTGTATTTTTAACTTGTATTTCTATTTAGTTTAGTAAAAATGATGTTTCTGTTTAACTTCTCGCCGTATTTATTGCAAATAAAATAATGTGGTTGTCATACTTATTATGTATTTAGTACAAATAATACAAAGTCTCTGTTTAGCTTGTGTTTAGTACTAATAATACGAAATCTCTGTTTAGCTTGTGTTTAGTACTAATAATGCAGAGTCTCTGTTTAGCTTGTGTTTAGTACTAATAATGCAGAGTCTCTGTTTAGCTTGTGTTTAGTACTAATAATACGAAATCTCTGTTTAGCTTGTGTTTAGTACTAATAATGCAGAGTCTCCATTTAGCTTGTGTTTAGTACTAATAATACGAAATCTCTGTTTAGCTTGTGTTTAGTACTAATAATACGAAATCTCTGTTTAGCTTGTGTTTAGTGTAATAATACGAAATCTCTGTTTAGCTTGTGTTTAGTACTAACAATGCAGAGTCTCTGTTTAGCTTGTGTTTAGTACTAATAATGCAGAGTCTCTGTTTAGCTTGTGTTTAGTACTAATAATGCAGAGTCTCTGTTTAGCTTGTGTTTAGTACTAACAATGCAGAGTCTCTGTTTAGCTAGTGTTTATTACAAACAAAAGAGCGTATATGTTTAACTTGTAGTTGAGAATTAAAACAACATATGTTTTCCGAGGTTGACAGGATTTTAAGGTGATTTATCTTATGTTTTAATTCTCTGTGTTTGCCTGCATATTGTTGCAGGGAATTTCGAGCTCTGTCCATCGAGATGGTACTGGGCACCGATATGTCGTCCCACTTCCACCAACTTAAAACGATGAAAACATTACTTAGCCATCGAGAATTTAGGTAACCGACCAAAACATTTTACAATCGATCGTTTCTAACAGTTTATGACTATTTTCCATTTCACAAGTTTTTTAAGAACACTCTTGTATTCATAAAATATTTCTCACAGTGTTTGCAAACCTAATATTTAGATATATTAACAGAAATACAGTACATTTTTTTTATTTCCGCCATTTTGTTTCAACTTACGAAACATTTGATATATATATATATATATATATTGTTCATGGCCATCTATTGGCATTTTCCAAAAACAGCTCCTGAAAGGTTGATTTCAAAATGATCTTGTTGTTTTCATGATTTTTTTCAGTATAGACAAGCCAAAGGCACTTTCATTACTTCTTCACTGCTGTGATATCAGCCATCCAAGTAAAAACTGGAAATTACACCATCCATGGACACAACTTCTCATGGAAGAATTTTTTCAGCAGGTACTCACGCAAGTATATGTTAATATAGCAACTCGCGAATAAACGTTCTATGCTATGATAATTCACGATACTTTCTTCCATGCAAGTGTTATATAAGTATACTTATTACATTGTTCCAGTATCTATCAAGTTGTGTTTGTATTCTGTACCATTTCGTCTCTAAAACTTTCTAAGCCTAACGTTTTTTATTAATTTATACTCGACCTGTAATCTTAGTGACAAAATAATCAAAGACTTGTGATTTTGTTTCTGTGATTTATTCGTCTTTAGATTTCAAAGCAAAAAGGTAAATTAAAACTCAAGAAATATTTGTAAGCATTATTTGATAATAACAGAACTAAAAGTCGGTTTTCTTAGTAACTTGATTTATGATTCAGTGATCTAATATTAAGATTCTTTTTTTTATTTGATAAGTTCTTGAAGTACACATAATAATAACCCAATAAGTTATTTGTTTTTTGACTTGTGAATAAAAAGGTATACTTGTAGAATATCAGTTTCGTCTATTCTGATGTTCGTTGCTGATCCCTTATGATAATTGAATGATGATAATCCATACCCAAGTATTTCTACGTAGATGAATCAGTCTAAACACCACTTTAAATATGGTATTTTCGACAAGTTATAACATACCCAGGTATTTCTACGTAGATGAATCAGTCTGTCACCACTTTAAATATGGTATTTTCGACAAGTTATAACATACCCAAGACTGATTCATCTACGTAGAAATACCGTCACCACTTTAAATATGGTATTTTCGACAAGTTATAACATACCCGGGTATTTCTACGTAGATGAATCAGTCTAAACACCACTTTAAATATGGTATTTTCGACAAGTTATAACATACCCAGGTATTTCTACGTAGATGAATCAGTCTAAACACCACTTTAAATATGGTATTTTCGACAAGTTATAACATACCTAAGTATTTTCTCTGTTTCGACAGGGAGACAAAGAACACGAAATGGGATTACCCTACTCACCTTTATGTGATAGGAATACAACGCTAGTCGCAGAGTCTCAAATAGGTAAGTCGTTAAGATCTATTTACCAAGGGAGCTAGCAAACCACTTGGTTATTATAACACTAAACAACGAAACGGGAAGGTGAACAATAAGTATGTAGTACATTATACAACTCTTAAATCAACTTGATTATGTTAACGTTAAAGAACAAAACAGACAGTGAGTCATGAATTTGTAATAAGCCAAAGAATTAATAAACTACGTCATTCTTATGACGTTAAAAAACGAAACAGACAGTGAGTCATGAATTTGTAATAAGCCAAAGAATTAATAAACTACGTCATTCTTATAACGTTAAAAAACGTAACAGACAGTGAGTCATGAATTTGTAATAAGCCAAAGAATTAATAAACTACGTCATTCTTATAACGTTAAAAAACGAAACAGACAGATAAAACATGAGTATATAAACATTCATATAAACCACGTGGATACCTTAACGTTTAGAAAACAAAACAGACAGGTAAAACATGTGTATATTATCATCTATATAAACCACGTGGATACCTTAACGTTTAGAAAACAAAACAGACAGGTAAAACATGTGTATATTATCATCTATATAAACCATGTGGATACCTTAACGTTTAGAAAACAAAACAGACAGGTAAAACATGTGGATACCTTAACGTTAAGAAAACAAAACAGACAGGTAAAACATGTGTATATAATCATTCGTATAAACAACGTAGATACCTTAACGTTAAAAAAAAACAACTAAACAGACAGGTAAAATGTATGTATCTAATCATCTATATAAACCACGTGGATACCTTAATGTTAGAAAACAAAACAGACAGGTAAAAGGTATGTATCTAATCATCTATATAAACCACGTGGATACCTTAACGTTTAGAAAACAAAACAGACAGGTAAAACATGTGTATATTATCATCCATATAAACCACGTGGATACCTTAACGTTAAGAAAACAAAACAGACAGGTAAAACATGTGTATATTATCATCCATATAAACCACGTGGATACCTTAACGTTAAGAAAACAAAACAGACAGGTAAAACATGTGTATATAATCACTCTTATAAACAACGTAGATACCTTAACGTTAAAAAAAACAAACTAAACAGACAGGTAAAATGTATGTATCTAATTATCTATATAAACCACGTGGATACCTTAATGTTAGAAAACAAAACAGACAGATAAAATGTATGTATCTAATCATCTATATAAACCACGTGGGTACCTTATCGTTAGAAAACGAAACAGAGAAGTAAAATGTATGTATCTAATCATCTATGTAAACCACGTGGGTACCTTAACGTTAGAAAACAAAACAGACAGATAAAATGTATGTATCTAATCATCTATATAAACCACGTGGATACCTTAATGTTAGAAAACAAAACAGACAGATAAAATGTATGTATCTAATCATCTATATAAACCACGTGGGTACCTTAATGTTAGAAAACGAAACAGGCAGGTAAGAGGTATGTATCTAATCATCCATATAAACCACGTGGCTACCTTAACGTTAAAAAAAGTGAAAAGCTAATATATACAATTTGTAAATCTCGCGTTTAACATAACGTTATAATAAAACAACGAAAGAGATTGGTAACTCGTACATCATGATATATGTGCGTGTATTTGTGACATAACGTTATAATAAAACAACGAAAGAGATTGGTAACTCGTACATCATGATATATGTGCGTGTATTTGTGACATATTTAGTGCAAAAAATAATAAAAAATCAAATAAAGTGATCATTATAATAGTTAGCAACTAATTATATAAGTAAATCACGAATATGGAAACCATCGATACACATGTGTATTGCTTTGTTTTAAGATATTCTATACATTCATCTTATAAACCAGGTGGCAAATATCCTGAACAATCCTTTCAACCAACAAGACAGGGAAACTTGGTTGGACAGGACAAATGTATAAATTAGTTTCGTTAAAATCTAATAATCTAAAGTTGCATCAAAACAGAAAAACCTGATCTAACAGGAAAACAGCATGATTCCTAAAATTTGCATCAGAACAGGAAAAACCTGATTTGACGGGGCAAAAACAAGCGAAACAGCATGATACCTTAAATTTGCGTCAGAACAGGAAAAAACCTGATTTGACGGGGCAAAAACAAGCGAAACAGCATGATACCTTAAATTTGCGTCAGAACAGGAACAACCTGATTTGACGGGAGAAAAAACAAGCGAAACAACATGATACCTTAAATTTACGTCACAACAAGTTAAATTGGTTTATTGGGGGGGGGGGAATGGGGGGCAAACAAACGAATTAATCCCATAAAAATTTAATATGCACAAAACAGTTTAAAGCTTGTTTTTCTATAATTTTTCATATTTTTAGTCGATTTCTTATATGATTAAAATCGTCTTGAAAAGTGTTTGATTTAACCAACACAGTGTTTTAACCCTAAAACAACGATATCGCATGGAAACAATTTTGTAACGTTTTTTTGGTTTCGAAAAAAGTTTCTTCAATAACGCAAAATATTTGTGCCCCTAGCGGAGGGTTGATTTAAATTTTGTATGAACATTAATGAAATAATTAAGGAGCTAACGAAAGGTTAAAAATCCAGATGGTGATAAGAACTTTATAAATATATATATATATATATATTAGTATAGAAATATTGATTTTTCGGTTCGCACAATTTTTCTTGACGTGAGATAGTGCTTCGAGAATAAGTTGTTGATTTTAACTAATATATAATACATTCTGTCTACATACGATTCACAGCTGTCTCTCATTCGTACATCTAAAATATGTGAACACGCGTCAATTAAAGTAATTACTGTCTTGAATAAATTGTATTCAATGATGCGTTTAAACAAATATTGACGATATACAGTTTTCTGTTTCTTGGTCCGGCATGTTCAGGTGGTTAAAGTGATTGACTCGAAATATGAGGGTCGCGGGTTCGAATCCCCGTCTCACCAAACATGCTCGCTCGTTCAGCCGTGGGTACGTTATAATGTGACGGTCATTCCCACTATTCGCTGGTAAAAGAGTAACCCAAGAGTTGGTGGTGAGTGGTGATGACTAGCTGCCTTCCCTCTAGTCTTACACTGCTAAATTAGGGACGGCTAACGCAGATAGTCCTCGTGTAGCTTTGCGCGAAATTCAAAACAAACAATATATTTTTCTGTTTCTTTAGGTTTTATCGAGTTTATCGTGGCTCCAAGTATGGAAGTGTGTGGAGATTTACTGGAGAAAATCCAGCTCGAGCTTCAGTTACCCAGATCTCCCACCGTTGAAGAATCCATCCTGGAGGAAACCTCGGAAAACAAAACTGGTGAGTAAATATTACATGGCTACAGCATATAGAGCTTAATTTCTTCGTGTCTCATATCCTGGTTCAACATCATAGGGGTAAGTAAAGAATTACCTAACCGACAACCAAAAGCTGACTCTCGTAAAGCTACCCTAGAAAGTTATACCTGTTGACTTAATGTTAAAAAAACATGAGTACCGAAAAACATAATTTGTTAAGTTTGAAAATATTCAGTTTAACAATTCATAAAATGAGAAGAGGGGAGGATTCATCATGTGCTAGAGTTCAAACATGTAATTAGATCCAAATGTTTTATGTGTGGAGGATTCATCCTGTGTTCGATTTCATACATGTAACTAGATCAAATTGTTTTATGTATACTGGTATACATAAAACATTCTGACCCAGTTACATGTTTCAACTCGAACACAGGATGAATCCTCCACACCGCATCATTTCATAGATTGGGTATACATAAAACATTCTGACCCAGTTACATGTTTCAACTCGAACACAGGATGAATTCTCCACACCGCATCATTTCGTAGATTGGGTATACATAAAACATTCTGACCCAGTTACATGTTTCAACTCGAACACAGGATGAATTCTCCACCCCGCATCATTTCGTAGATTGGGTATACATAAAACATTCTGACCCAGTTACATGTTTCAACTCGAACACAGGATGAATCCTCCACACCGCATCATTTCATAGATTGGGTATACATAAAACATTCTGACCCAGTTACATGTTTCAACTCGAACACAGGATGAATTCTCCACACCGCATCATTTCGTAGATTGGGTATACATAAAACATTCTGACCCAGTTACATGTTTCAACTCGAACACAGGATGAATTCTCCACCCCGCATCATTTCGTAGATTGCCACACCCACTCATTTCATAGATTGAGGATTCATCCTGTGTTTGAGTTGAAACATGTAACTGGGTCAGAATGTTTTATGTATACCCAATCTATGAAATGAGGGGGTGTGGAGATTCATCCTGTGTTTGAGTTGAAACATGTAACTGGGTCAGAATGTTTTGTATATGCTCAATCAAACTCGAATTTCATGCACGGGCCACACGACTACATTTTAAAGCGTGTGTTCTTATGCAGCTGTTTTCTACAACATTCATTTGTAGCTCCAGAAAACAATGTGTAACGACAAATTTACCTGAACTTTACATAGATTTTTATAGCAGAAATTTTTGATGTCATTATGTATTGGTACTTGATGCGAAATATGACTAACAGCAAAGCTAACTAATAACAAAAATATTCTACTAATTTCCAGCATTAACTCGAACAATATTATTTAATCAATAACCCGTATAATCACCTGACAATAAATTCATGGAGCATCTCCTTTCGAATACTATTTACATTCTCCCCCCTTCTTTACGCCCTTAATCCCAACTTGTTTGGGGGTTGGCCGGCATGGTTGTAAGCTAAGAATTTTTATAACCGGGCTGGCTGGCTGGCACAGTCGGCAACCATATAGGACGAGATTCGAACTTGCGACTCTCAGATAACGAGTCGAGCACCCTAACCACCAGGCCATTCCAAGCCCATTTAAAAATCTAACATGATCTCTTATAAAAATCTAACGCCTTATATGAACTATCTCAACAAACAATAAAAACAAATTGATATCCTATTAATTGAAACTAAAAATAGTACTTTTTTGCCCATGTAAGGGAATATATTATTCAAAACTTAAAGTGAATGATACTCTATAAATCTAATTTAATTTATTCCGTTGGTTGCATTCTCAACAGGTGGGGTATAAAAAGGAGCAATAGCGATGACAAGGGGATTTAGTTTAAGGTGATTCGTGGCGCTCATGCCACTGAAGAGAGATAATGTATATCTTTTATGTTTTTTAGACACTAGATAGAGCAAGTTTTCTCCCATATTTAAAGTTTCAAATTCCTTAGTTAAACTGAACTAGTCCATCATTTATTGCACTTTCCACAAGTCTGTGTTGGTATTAAGTTTTTAGTCATTTTAATAATTCTAAACTTTGTACATGTGCTATTTTACGTTGATGTCTATTACCCACTTCTTGTTAAAAAGAAAGAATCATTGACTTCCAAATTTTCCTATCTTTTTGAATACGAATACATGTGGTAATATGGCTGAAGGTGGTTGTTATATGTACTTATTTTTGAAATATTAAATTCAAGAAAACTATTTCGAAAGCACGTTGTCGTTAACAAATAAATAAATAAATCCCGCCTAATGCAGTTATTTACATTTTTAATTGTTTCTCTGTAAGGAAAATATTAACTGTAGTTTTTTTATACATTATTACATGTATTATTTATTACTATAATTACATTGAAGTTTATATAAGTTATAATAAGAGGGAACATTTTTACAGATAAGAAGCTACGCACTAAATCACTTTCTGCTATGAGACCATCAACTAGACCAAACAGCAATTCCCTCCCTTCAGATGGCGCTAGTATCGATAATGAAAGTACCACATCCAAGCCACCCCCGCGGAGTGCACCAGCCTCACCCAGATCCCCACACTTAGGAGGGTCAGGGGCTCATGCTGAAGTTCCTCGTCCGTGGATAAAATGCCTAGAAGAAAACAGAGCTCTCTGGCAAGAAAAAGCAGCAAAAGGTAACTTCAAATAAGCGTAAAAAATCAACTACACGTCAGAGGTTAAACCAGTAAAGCATCAACTACACGTCAGAGGTTAAAACAGTAAAGCATCAACTACACGTCAGAAGTTATACCATTCATTTTTCTTTTCTTTTTTCGTACAAACTACTTTATTATAATTGTTTCAGGATTATATGTCCAGCTTCCGAAGTTTCTTTACTAGAGCAGTTAATAAAACTGTTAAAACTTGTTTCCGTCTGTACTGGTTTGTTAGTTCTGATTCATAGGTAGGTAGAGAATTGTAAAGATTTATGTTGGCCAAGGTAAAATATTTCCTTACATATATTATTTATATCCACACATACATATATATAACACTTAGCTACAGTAAATGTAAAGAAGTTATAATAATAATAATAGGGACGGTAGCATTTATAAGAAATTCGCGCATTTACTGAGGATAATAAAACTTGTATTATATATAAAAATTACGAAAGGTATATATATATATATATATAACAACTAGATGCGCTTTCGTAGGGTCCACGAAACTGTCTTGTTTCAAGAGTGAATAAAACCAAAATTAAGAGTAACAAATATTTTTATTTCTCGCTTTTGAAGTTCATATGTCATGTTGTGTTGTAGCCCAGATAGTGCATAATTCTTCTCGTGATTCATGGCATGCGCATGTTTTACTGACGTCACGACAGTACAAACTGCAACGGTGAGCGTCCCTTATGTGACGTCGTTTTAGTGTTTGATGACTGACGGACAGACAACACACTACTGTATAGTTCGTGAGAGTGGTTAAAACAGGCGGCCTTCTGCTCCCTTTTGGGGAAATAATTGCGGTAGTAGTACCCATAAAGCGTTGGGTATATCTGTCTCTCCAGTTATTCACCAAACCCCAGATGAAAAAAACCCTAATGTAAACAACATGTAAGTATCTGAAAAAAGAAAGAACGAAAGAAAAATATAAAGTGGAACTCAGATGCTCAATTACACTATGGTAGTTACCCTTTAAAAACCACGTTAGGTAATAATATTGGAATAATGTTTGAAATATAAAAAAATAATAATGAATTATAAGTACCCTCCAGTAGTGTTCGATATTGAGCCATATGACACACGGTTATCACCAATAATTATATCACAATAGAACTAAAATACTCCTCTTACAGTTATTCTAATTCTCTGATAAATTTACACAATAAAATAAAGTTACGTTTAGTAATTTTTCACTTGATTCTATACAGTTTTATTAATATTTGTTAATTAATATGCAAGTTTGTTAAATAAATAAATATTGTTTATATGGTGTTCAAAGAAGAGTCTTATAGTTAGCCAGTTTGAATTAAATGATTTTTCGAAGAGAACAAAAATTGTATTTGTTTCATTAAATCCTATAATTTAACATTATAACACAGAGTATTGTTATCCTGATCGCCACCTCATGCGACACGTGGATTAGAGAGTAAACTCATTGATCACGAGATCCAGACGTAGTCTCCTCTAATTTAGAATTTTTCAAAAGGAGGGTAACCGATCAACAACAGCTACCTTTAAGCGCATTGAGGGATTGGATGTCACGATTATAAAGCTTCCAGACATCAGAAATTGCAGAGCGTGTTCAACGGGATGTCACGGCTCGACCCTAGTACTTCCCGATCGGTTATCCGACATGATAACCACTAGATCACATCCGCCCCCAAAAAGTCAGACAACGATGTTTGGTGTATAACATCTATTGAAGCAGAGTGCAACTCACGCTAACTCAGCTTCAATATTAAACTCTTCGAAACATAACCGAGCTGTATCCACATGCTTGAACTTTTTTTTTTATAGGGATGTCGTTTCAAGATTTTACATAAAACGATATTAAAATACTGTTATAGAGGTTTCCATTTAAGCCTAAAAATGACGGATGTTAGAGACTTCTGTTAGTAGGTTAAAATATAGTTTTCAACAGACTGAATAACTGGATATAATTCCTTACATTTTTTATGAATCACATTATTCACTGAGTTTTATTTTAACAAAAGCAGAATACTGGAAACTGAGTTCAAACTTCGATCTCTTCAGAAACCTTACCCAATGTTGTGTCAATCCACCTAAACGTTATATTAAAGTCAGATAAGATGTAAATAAAAAGAAAATAGAAATAATTATTACTTGTTTATCTAATGTGTGTATATAGATGCGGAGCTCCAGTCCCAAGAAGTTTCTACGGATAGAAAATCTGATAATGATGATAGCGATCCAGCTGAATCTGCAGCCTCTCGATCTGAGACATAATTTTTGTGTGAAACGAAGTGTGCTTTTTGTATTTACGTACTATAGTTAGTCTTATAAGTAGTGCATTATTTGATAGGTAGTCATGAAAGGTCGCATTTTCTAAAACATCCTTTTCTTCTGTGTTAACATACCAAATTCACTACCTGGAAAATTACCTTTGTATATTAGTTGCTAATAATAGATTATAAAGTAATACACAAAGGACATGTGTATCTTATATGTTCATTAAGCCTTATATACTCTCATATACTATAATTAGCTTTATTGATTCTCTCGGTAGGAATATCCTCGTTTGTTATTTGGAGTATTAAAAAAGTAAGTAGTAACAGTACTGAGTAAATACAAAAGTAAGTAGTAACAGTTACTGAGTAAATACAAAAGTAAGTAGTAACATTTACTGAGTAAATACAAAAGTAAGTAGTAACAGTTACTGAGTAAATACAAAAGTAATAGTAACAGTTACTGGATAAATACGAAAGTAATAGTAACAGTTACTGGGTAAATACAAAAGTAATAGCAACAGTTACTGGGTACATATAAAAGTAATAGTAACAGTTACTGGGTAAATACAAAAGTAATAGCAACAGTTACTGGGTACATATAAAAGTAATAGTAACAGTTACTGGGTAAATACAAAAGTAATAGTAACAGTTACTGGGTAACTACGAAAGTAATAGTAACAGTTACTGGGTAAATACAAAAGTAATAGTAACAATTACTGAGTAAATACAAAAGTAATAGTAAGAGTTACTGGGTAAATACGAAAGTAATAGTAACAGTTACTGGGTAAATACAAAAGTAATAGTAACAGTTACTGGGTAAATAAGAATGGTGTCCAAGTTGAGATATTTTATTAGGATTTACAATAGCAACTGTGTCCAAACGCTTAGATTCTTTAAAAGTGATTTTTTATGTCGCCGTTAACACTTCACAGTGTATTTCATATATATATTAATACACTTCATCCATCTTCCCAAACCTTAATAGATAACAGTGATTTGTTCAGCTGTTAGAGCATTTGCTGTGAGATATTGTAAGGCTAGTAATTATTTTATTTACACAGTTATTACAATAACAACATAAGTATGCTGTATGTGTAAGGACTTTATGTATAATCCGAAGCATAATGATTTCGTTTGCTGAACCATGTAAATAATTATAAATATGCTAACTTTTTCTGGCAAACCTTTGAGCGGGAGTTATAAATATTGGGCATAGTTTTAGCTCATTTTGAAAGTCCCCTCTATTTCTTCTAGTTGTGATTTAGGAAGCCAGGCCACCAATCACATTCACATATATAATATATACACGCGTATGCATACACGTGTCGGTGGGTTTGCGTGAGACAAAGTGATTATTTCCTGTTGTGGAACGATCTGATAAGCGCCCTCTTCTGGACGTAGTCTTTTGATTTTGCTGAAATATAATTTGTGGCCTTCACAGTATTAATCGTACATTCATAATCACATGATTAAACTATCTTAGTTAAAAATCTTAAGGTTAAGCAACCTAAACCTGTAAGCTAACTCTTCCTTTTTTTATTATTATTATAAGCGGCCAGAATTAGAATATAGATATATCATGTGTAACAACTAAACGTTCGTAGTCATATATACATCCATGCAAATATACAGTAAAAGCACAAATACACATAAATGTATGAAATATATAAGTTATATGACTTTTCAGTTTCAGCAGTTGATTTTAAGTTGTGCTGGAAAGGTATTAATTGCCCAGTTTATATTTTTATACGTTAAATAATGAGAACGTGTTTGTATTGTATGTAAGTGTATTCAAACAGTTCTAGCTTGTGGCTGACCAGCACACTATAGTGGAAGCTTCGTCATAACACCCAACGTCACATGTTTCTGAATACATATTACGAGAACACTATCACATACTTCTGGATGTTGCCGCTAGAGGGAGAGTGTGCCAAAAAAAAAAAAACCCCAAAACAACACGTGTATAAAATTTTTTTTTAACATATCTGTTTCACATTTTCTTAGTCATTTTATAAGAACACTTAGCACAATAAAAAAACATGTCTTTGATCTAGTTGAAATACCGTATCAATGCAATGTTCATCACATCTCAGGGTAGAGATATCTGGCGTATAATCAGATATGTATTTTGCTCACGATACATTTTACGTCTGCTATAATGATAGTATTTATACACCCAAGTTCGCAACTTTGTTGAATATTTTATTACTTAAAAGTTCCTTGCTACTCAAATAAGAATGGTAATATATTGTTACCATACTATTTTTTCCCTGGAGTTATAGTTATACGATTCTCTGCTTTACCTGTCAGAGCTGTGTTCAGGAGGGCTAGTGCACGCTCACTGAAGTCACAAGAGCTAACTAACAATGAGGCTTTAATTAAAAGTTGTAGAACAATTTAAAAAAACGAACTACGCTTTACATTTCCTTGCATGAAAACCATGGATATTTAAAATAGTTTTATTAAAAATATGTTTGCAACCAGCTTCCTTTCGCATTTTGGATTATTCTCTTTCCCTGTGCTACTTGTGGACTTCAAAGTATAAAAATTTGCACTTTCACCATTCTTAAAATATAAAACTTTAGAAATAAAACTACTTTGATTACAAACTATTTTTATTTTTTGAAAAGGTATATATATATATGTACAGTTATATAGGTAGGCAGCTAGCTAGATCCCTAACTTAAAACAATTTACTCTTGTATAAAGTTTATAGACTGAGATGATTGAAAGGCTTAAACTGTGTAATCGTACATTTTTTAAAGTTATTTTAAATCATTTAGCCTATAATGAATAAAATGATACTTCAGGTTAATGACATCTTCTTACGATACATTTTTTTGTTTGCACATTGAATCAACATTTTCTACAAGTTGACACAAGACTTGTAAATGAGAATAAGTTTTATTGAGTTCATAAAGTTTGTCATACTTTTAGTTTTTCTTCTACTTCATTTTCGGTTTTCAAATCAGAAACAGAAAATAACTGTTATTAAGTGTGTTGCATAGGCCTACGCACTGTCAGTTAAACCTACTTTATTCACTTCGACGCTATGAAGCGTAGGCCCTAAATCGGGACGTCGTAGCCTTCTTTTAAATGCCACAAATGACTCACCGAGGATCAATTACACGAGTATCAATTCAGGCAAAGAGTTTAAATCGGTGTAAATTGATGAATCGAACTCCAATCCAAGTTAGTTTGTTTTTTTATGGCCGAGACATTTCGATTGACAGGCTCTGCTTCTACAAAAGAATGTCTCATCATCTTAAAACGTTTACTTTAGGCCTACCATTACTGTTTAGTGTTTTTACATCTTTAATCGTGTCTTACGAAAGAAAAGAGGATTTCTAGAACATTTTACATATTGCACTCATTAGTAATGTGACCTAGAAATTCCTAAAATTTGATGTCAATGATTCATTTAGTGCTAACGTTATCTCACACATCACCTTACTCGGCTACACAATGACATTGGCAAGAAAATATGCTGACAGAGAAACAAAGGCTGTAAACTTTGCACCGCCATTCTTGTGCACAACGTAATAATTATTTGTACGATTTTCAATTATAGTTTGCGTTTAATTATGTAAATTTTTTGTATTATAATATATAATTTTTAAATAACTAACTGCATTTTTAATGTTCATTATATTTTGTTGTTTCTTCGTATAGTTTTTTAAAGTAGAAAGGCTACTTACAGCGAAAAATACATTGACAAAATAATATAACAGTTATATTGCGCAGGTATTATGTGTTGTTTTAAATTATATTTGTAGTTATGTAATTTTCGAATAAAATAAAGTTAATGATCGAAAGTTAGTAGTGTTTACAATTCTTTTAATATACAAATATTATAATTAGTGAAATCATTCCATCCAAATATATTAACCAGTTTACTTTGTTTTAACATTTGGTTGGTACAGGAATATAGCTTGTAGAAACCACTGTAATTTCACAGATCGAGCTGGAATGATATGGAATAATAAGATTTGCTTGACAAAGAACAGTGAGAAAAACCTTTGTTTTTAGTCTGAAATGATTGACAGGTATGTACATCGAACAACGAATCAATACTATGCATATTTCATCATAAAAACCTAACAAAACGACTTCATTAGGAACGTATAACACTGGATTAGAAAATGAAATATTGTATTTGAGCAATGCCACTACCGCTTTGTGAAAATGACGATTATCAGCTACTGTCTGGTATCAACTGAAGTCGTTAGAGGTACAGACCCTAAAAACAGAACAGGAAATCCAGTCTTACTAACACCGTTAGAGGTACAGACCCTAGAAACAGAACAGGAAATCCAGTCTTACTAAGGTCGTTAGAGGTACAGACCCTAGAAACAGAACAGGAAATCCAGTCTCATTAAAGCCGTTAAAGGTACAGACCCTAAAAACAAAACAGGAAATCCAGTCTCTCTAACTCGGTTAGAGGTACAAACCCTAGAAACGAAACAGGCAATAGCGTGGAAACACATTTAGCATATAGTTAGTTACATGTGATGACAGTACTGGAGGGTTTTCACAAACATTAGAAACCACCATTGGTTATGACTCTAAGAACAGCTAGGTAGAGGACGTATTCCCGCTCTATGTGTCCCCAATAAATAGTTACGAAGGTTTCTGTATTAATAGTGAACGTCGTTTTTTGTTTTTCATTTCCTGTCGATACTTTTCTTTTCATCGCCGAGAAGTTTTATTCAGAATACACACAATCAATAATAACTAGTAAAACACATGGGCTTCAGTTTTTATTACGGAGAACACTTTAAATGATTTTCGATATACTTCGTCATCGATCACTCTTGTCTGCGTCGTAGGAGTATAAACAGCGACTAGTCTGATACAGTGTAATGAGGAAATCGAAAATGAAACCAAACGCAGAGTGAAATGGGACCCATGCTGCTGATAAATGAGGTATTTGAGTCATGAACAAGGACTGACTGCTGCTACAATCGAAGTCAAATTCTGATTTTGTTTAGTTGTTAAATGTCTAAAAATGCAAAATAGCTTAGTGAGTGTGAAGATCTATTTATCTGTCTTGTGTATTATTAAAATCTTCAGTTGAAATATTAATATTAACTATAAAGATCACAACTAAAATGTAACTTATAAATAAATTGACGAAACCACTTCTATATAACAAACCGGTTAGAAATATTTGCTGTCATAAATCATTATATCAGGAAACAAAAAACAATGATAATAAGAATGCATTGAATCACCATATTTTTGGTGATAATACCAGTAATATTTCACGTGGTTCAGCCAACTTAGGAGATTTAAATTAGTCTTAAACTCATATAATATGTTACCAATGGAAAATAATCACCATAAAAAAAAATAATATAAGCAAATGAATAGATAAACCAACTAATAATTATTGCTAGTTTAAAAATTATAACAATTATAGGCTTAAATTGTGTGTGTTTCTAATTATCTGTACTCTGCCCACCACCGGTATCGAAACCCAGATTTTAGCGTTGTAAGTCTGCAGACATGCCGCTGTGCCATTGGGGAGCACCACAAAACGAGCAATATAAGTCATATAAAGCGATTTTTTTTCAAGTATACTCTTAATTTGCCCATTTCGGATTAAAAATCAGAAACACGTAAAAAATAGCATTTCAGATCTATCTTTTGTCTTACACAAGTCTCTGACCAAGAGTCTTGTCGTTCAGTACCAGAACTAATCAGTAGAGCTGGACAATAAAACAAACAAGTTCCTTGAAGCACTATTTATATAGGCAGTATAATGATTTAAAAGTTACTGTTTAACCCCAAAAGCTGACGAAGCATTGGAACCCAATTAGCCTAAAATGTCTGATATAAATCATCATTTGATTTATAATGCTTCACCAGCTTTCGGCGTTTAAGCCGTTTTATAACAATAATTTTAATGAAACTAACTTTAAAGATGATGAAGTAAGTACATATAAATTAGGGCTTTAATTAAATATGTTAAATATAACACCATTCAGTTGTTTTAAGGACACATAGAGGTTAATGCATTATAAAATTTTCGATTTAAGAACCATTGTGTCATAACGTTTTCAGTTATATAATACAAATCACGTCTAGTAAGAAACACCAGTTCGAAACGCCCACGTTTGTGTAGCTTACTTGCCCTACTCTGGTGCTATTGTACATTCATAAGGAAGTGCTTATTGTAAAGGAACTGAACCAGACAGTTATAATAAGGCAGATATAGAGTTAACTGCAACTGAAGGACGAAGTTTTCATTAAATCTCAATGAGAGTTTAAGAAATGCGTAATTTAATGTAATATATATATGGACATTATACAAAGCTTCTTTTTTTTAATTATAAAAAAATAAATTAGAAACATATACATCTTACTGCAGAACATTTTAAAACACCGTAGTTTTATAGTACAAAACGTGTTCTGAAGAAATAGGCTTAATTCAGTCATGCCATTTATGGGAAATGTCAATGAACTCTGCATTCTTATACTGCGGTCAGACTGTGGATCCATGGTTCGCGCCTCGTTATCTGGGATCACGTGTTCGAATACCGTCATAAAACATACTATTTCAGCTGTGGGTCGTTATAATATGACGGTTAATCTCACTTTTCGTTGGTAAAATGTAACCCAAGGCTAGCGGTGGGTGCTGTTAATTAACTACCTTCTCTCTAGTCTGTTTCAAAATTAGTGACGGTTAACGAAGATAGCCCTGGAGTAGCCTTGAGCGAAATTCAACAAACAGAAACAGACACCACGGAAAGTTCGTATAAACTGAACTACGTATGCCTATAGTCTTGTATGTATATTTGAATATTTAAATAGTGTAAGAATTTACTAAATGTGGGAGGTTTAAATATATTAAGATGTATAAACTCCATTAGATAAAAATTTCTAAATTCTGATAATGAATTTAAGGTGAAATCAACAAAAAATGGAAAACATTTTATTCTAAATAATTCAAAAACTGTAGCTGTTTATCTTCAATATTTTGCGAAGTAAATTTAATTTTATAATCAAATATATATATTTATCTGCATGTATGTTACATAGGTATATAATATTTATCCATTTTTAAAAAATCAGACGTTTAACAGTCTGTATTACAGAACAATTTGATTCACCTAAAGTCTATATATTTATGAGTGTCATTCTGTTAGAATAATTTACAAACAACATTGTCAGTAAAAAAGATAAAACAATTTTATTCGCTTGAAAAAGTTTCAAATACAATCATAGTTCAAAACATTCGTATAATTGTAGCATTTTACATTGTTGTACGTTGAAAATTGAGCAGTTATATTATTATTACAAAATATTGAACAATGAACAAATGAAAAAATGTTCACATAAAAATATACTCGTGAAAATTATAAATATGTAAACTTAAACCTTTATTGAATATATAAACGATAAGCTGCATCACGAGTACTGTTATCAGTCACTTACATTATAAATCTGTAAACTCAATCTTATACTCGAAGCTGCATCATGAAGGTAATGAACCATGTAAAAATCTAGATCCGCAAAATTAAACCTAGACTGAATACAACCAGCAAGCTGCATTATGAGGGCTATTAAGAGTAACCTAAAACTTAAAACTGCGAAATTAAACCTCTACTAAATATAAACACAAAGCTGCATCACAAGGGCTGTTGTAAATCCCACAAAAGTTAGATTTGCAAATTTAAACCTCTCTTAAATATAAACACGAAGCTGCATCATGAAGGTTGTAAAGATCTGCAAAATTAAACTTATACTGAATCTAAACAAAAAGCTGCATCTTGAGGGCTGATATGAATTACATAAAATTTAGATCTGCAAAATTAAACCTCTGATGGATGTAAACAAAAAGTTGCATTATGAGGGCTGTTATGAATTATGTAAAATTTAGATCTGCAAAATTAAACCTCTTCTAAGTAAAAACATGAAGCTGCATCATGAGGGCTGTTATGAATTATGTAAAATTTAGATCAGCAAAATTAAACCACTTCTAAGTATAAACACGAAGCTACATCAATTATGAATTACGTAAAATTTAGATCTGCAAAATTAAACTTACACTGAATATAAAATTGAAGCTGCATCACGAGGGATGTTATGAATTACATAAAATTTAGATCTGCAAAATTATACTTCTGCTAAGCATAAACATGAAGCTGCATCATGAGGGATGATATGAATTACGTAAAGTTTAGATCTGCAAAATTAAACCTCTGATGAATGTAAACAAAAAGCTGCATCATGAGAGCTGTTATGAACTATGTAAAATTTAGATCTGCAAAATTAAACCTCTTCTAAGTAAAAACATGAAGCTGCATCATGAGGGCTGTTATGAATTATGTAAAATTTAGATCTGCAAAATTAAACTTACACTGAATATAAACATGAAGCTGCATCACGAGGGATGTTATGAATTACATAAAATTTAGATCTGCAAAATTAAACCTCTGATGGATGTAAACAAAAAGCTGCATCACGAGGGCTGTTATGAATTATGTAAAATTTAGATCTGCAAAATTAAACCTTTTCTAAGTATAAACACAAAGCTGCATCACGAGGGCTGATATGAATTACATAAAATTTAGATCTGCAAAATTAAACCTCTAATGGATTTAAACACAAAGCTGCATCACGAGGGCTGATATGAATTATGTAAAATTTAGATCTGCAAAATTAAACCTCTGATGGATGTAAACAAAAAGCTGCATCATGAGAGCTGTTATGAATTATGTAAAATTTAGATCTGCAAAATTAAATTTTTTCTAAGTATAAACACAAAGTTGCATCACGAGGGCTGTTATGAATTACATAAAATTTAGATCTGCAAAATTAAACTTCTAATGGATGTAAACAAAAAGCTGCATCATGAGGGCTGTTATGAATTATGTAAAATTTAGATATGCAAAATTAAACTTACACTGAATATAAACACGAAGCTGCATCACGAGGGCTTTTGTGAATTACGTAAAATTTAGATCTGCAAAATTAAACCTCTGATGGATGTAAACAAAAAGCTGCATCATGAGGGCTGTTATGAATTATGGAAAATTTAGATCTGCAAAATTAAACTTACACTGAATATAAACACGAAGCTGCATCACGAGGGCTTTTGTGAATTACGTAAAATTTAGATCTGCAAAACTAAACTTATACTAAATATAAATAGCAAAGTGCATCACGAGGGCTGTTATGATAAATCTAAAACTTAAAGTCTGTGAAATTAAACTCGCTTTGGATATAAACAATAAGTTGCATCATATAAACAACAAATTACATCATCACAAAGACTATTACGAGTGATCTAAAATTTAAACCTACAAAATTATACCCGTACTAAATATACACAAAAAGTTGCAACGAGAGGGTGTTATGAATAACCAAGCACTTGAATATCTGAAATTAAACATACTTTGGATATAAAGAGCAATCTGTATCTCGAGGGATATTATGATATATATATATATAAAGTGCATCATTTCAAAGATGTCTCACCGTTTACAAATTACAAAGAGAAACGTTAAACATCATTCTTTCCCGAGTATTGTGAAACATGCGAAGGAAAATAACAAACAGAAAATTTATGAACTCTTTTCACACGGAATCAAAATATGCAAAAACAGCACAAAACACTAATACAATTTGGATTAAGATTATGATAATATGAAACATTACATCGATAATACTAAAAATCGTTAAAACATACAATGTATGTGACAATACCAAGCTATAAAATTCACCTACCATACCTGGAATGTCTTCTTTTCGCAAGTACTTTTTATAGTATAAAGGATTTGAAAAGATAAAATCAAGACGAGTTGATCAAGTAAATATATTTTATACATTTTTATATACTTTTTACCGTTCTTTATATAGCAAATAATAATAATAAATAGAACTATACACTAACAAACTATCCAAACAACAAATTTGTATGTAGAACGGTCCAGAACTTAGATGTCTAAAAATTAACCAATCCAAAATAAAATGTATGTCATATTTTAACATGAAGAAGGCTTAGCCGGTCAAACTCACACATCTAGTCCGTACATGTCCAGGTAAAATGAACTTCTAACATCATCAGTTGATAGTACGAGAGGTGAGTATTCCTTGTTGAACATAATCTCCACAATAGATCTGTCAAAATACAAAACTTTGACTCATTCAGTAGCATCTTTTGAACTTGCTTGACTTCATCTGAAGATGCCACGAAAAAAATAAAATAGAATTACCTCCAGGATCTGTCGTATACAATGCTTGACTTCATCTGAAGATGCCACGAAAGAAAAAGAAAAAAGAATTACCTCCAGGATCTGTCGTATACAATGCTTGAATTCCAACGGTTTTCTATGAAAATAGCGAATTATAACCAAAGCACATTTCGTGGGTGTGAGATCCTTCTACCATAATTCAGAGAATGTGACGAATGTGGGTCAACACACAGTCAGTGTATTTTTCGTTTCTGAGTGAAAAGAGGTGACATAACCATCAAACAGCTCAGGAACCTATTCTTCAGGGAGGACGAAGGAAGCTAGCCATCACTGAGATTTGAATTTCTGTAAAGATTGAAAACTCACACACAACTCCCAGCTAATCATCTGTGACACTTGTTGAACGTCTGTAGTTGAAAGAGTTTTAGTTGAAACACACCAGTTCCTTGTTTGATACGGTAAAAAGATGACATTTAATACCACTCCAAAGTGAAAGAGAAAATAATCTTGAAGATATTATTCTCATTTTTCTCTTTTAATTAGGTTGGGAATAGAAAGGGATAGAAAGAAGGTGTAACATTAAAAGAAAGAAGCAGAAAATGGTAACAGTGGAACATTAAAGCTGGAAAAGGAAAGAAGCTGGAAGCAAAGAAAATTATAGCTGGAAGAGAAAACAAGTTGAAGACGTAAACGAGTACTAGAGCACAAGTTGAAGAAGAAAAGAAATGATAGTTAGCTAACTTAAAACGTTATATATATATATGTATCGTTATAATGAGATGACGTCAGCAGTGTGACTAGAAACCGCCCACACTGATTTGACAAATCACATGACATCACGAACACATTGTATTTCCAAGACATAAGATGACAGACCGTCGTATCCGTTTTAGTTTGGAGAAGCGGATCTTGTGATAAGAGTCTTAAATCCACCACTTCCCCTACAAATATGGTGTCAAAAAAAACCAATAAATATCATTCTCAACTGTCCTTAGATTTCTTGGGAAAACTGTGACAAAATGGGGTTATAGCTGACTAAGAAACTGTTTGATTCACAGTAAACAATCGCATTGCTGACGCAACAAAAAAATTACAATATTCTATGGTTGCTACGAGCAACATCCTTTAAAAGTTGGTGTATACAAATGTAATACCGAAAAGTTTAAAATTATTACTTCTTGAACGTTTCAGTGATCGATAAGTTTGCAAAAACTAAAACCTAAAAATGTTATTACAAAGTTAAAAAAGTCATATGAAACCCAAGATATCATTCGATTCACCACTTGTAACCGAGTTATGCCGGTTTCGAAAATTCCACCTCTTCTTCTCTGGCGGAGAACAGATCGAAAGACTTCGTATCATGGCAGAGGGTATGTTACACGTACAGTTGTCTTTTACTCACCACGGTGAACATTGGATTTGGAGGATATGTATATTTGATACAACCAATCTATTTTTCTGTATTATTTAGCGGACAAGCAATTGAAAACACCATACATGTTATTACGATATATTTTCAGCACTCGGCTGAGTTAAAAGTATCCACACGTTAAAGTTCGTGTTGAACTGTATAAATGTTTGTTCATAACGAACACATCAAAGTTTAACCATGGCCATCTTCAGTGCTTTCGTTTAAACATGCTAGTACGTTAAATCTCATCACGTACAGCCTCATTTATTGTTAACATTTATGAACAGTAAATCAAATTTCAGTCTTACTTAAAACTTTCTTAAATTTAACTATATAAAACGAAATGTGGCTTTTCTAGTTCAGGGTCGAACGATCAACTTTGACTTTATTGTTTTTCCCTGGTCTTTCGTATGTTGACATTTTCAAATCGATACAGTTTATAGCAGATCTTAAAATAAAAACACCTTTGTTTGGACTTAAGTTTGGACTAGTCTGTACTATATAATATGTTTGTCATTATTAACAGTATTTTTCAAAGCAACAGCATATATATCATTGTATTTTATTACTGTTTTGGATTATATAATACTGAACTTTATTCTTTTTTCTTCTCACTTCTAATTTAGGAAGTTTTCACCTCCGCACGTCACACATCGGATGTAATAACATCATCGGGTAGTTCTGTGAAGGTGATTATCTATCACACATACGTTTATTACGAAACATCTCTTCTTTACTGCCTCTGTTGGAGTAAATTGTTACTAACCGACGACGTTTCCTGTTTTAGTTCCAAGAATTGCCACATATATAACATCGTACGTAATACATAGCAAACGATACAAGGAAATTAATACAGTAAATAATCTAATTCAAGAAATAACTTGTGGTCTCATTACGCTTTAGGAGTATCATCTGACTGATTGCTGATCTATGATGAAACAGTAAAATAAATATTAACACAGAATTTACAATGGTAATAAGGAAGAATCAGAAAAATATTATTGACAGATATCCTACCTAATAAAACGTGGGAACTTAATTTCATTAAGTATCTACTAGTATCTACTAGCGTTTTTTTTTAAAACTTAATTATTCTAATTACTTGTACGACGATTTAACTCATCTAACTGTTCTAAACCAAAGAGAAGAGAGAGATACAGTTCTGCAAGTTCCGTCACATCTACAAAACAAGCACCACACACTAGCTTTGTATATTCTACCTGAGCCCTCGGTTCTCCCAACTTTCTAGGTTATTGTTTCCTACAAGTTACTGCTATTGAATCGAACTTATTTTTTTATTACAACTATAGTAATACCTACCCCGTTTAGCGCTTAGGAAGGGTTGCTGAGAACAGAGCTTTAAACGAATCAGGGTCATTTTAATATTACATATACGGAGCTATGTAACTGAAGACATTGTTTCTTACCTGTGAATGATGTATAAATGCTTTATTTAGGTACTGGTAAATTACTCACTATAATGTCGTCGTCGCTGGAAAAAAGCAAGTATTTATTAGTCTTCAATTTTATTTGGTTACAGAGCCATCAAATAGAAAATCAGACCCCTCCTGCCACGCGCCAATGTCACATCCTCTCTTTCAGGATTTGTCAAACCTGTAGTTCTTTCTTACTATATTAGTTATAACCAATAGACAGGCAATGTTTTCGTCTATCAAATGACATATTATATTCCGTTGTTTTCTGTACAGAGATTTGTAGATCGTTTCCTAAAAAATGTTCTGTTTTTTCCCACGGAACGATATTGTGTAGATGGATGAGGTTTTAACGGTTCATATTGCTGACCCCAAACGACAGAAATATTGTGATCGTTACGGAGCATCGTCCGCTTTTTGCAAGTTACTAAAGGTTTTGTTTTCCCACGGAACGATATTGTGTAGATGGATGACGTTTTAACGGTTCATATTGCTGACCACAAACGACAGAAAAATTGTGATAGTTACGGAACATCGTCTGCCTTTTGCAAGTTACTAAATGTTTTGTTTTCCCACGGAACGATATTGTGTAGATGGATGACGTTT